AAACCGTTTGTTCACTTTAGCAGCAGATTTGGACGAACTGTACCAAAGTCGCTCAGTCCACTCAAACTGGTTATTCTTTGGCTGTTAAATAGGGCCTGATTCAGGAAAGAGGAAGCTATGAATAGAACTGGGATAAATGCGCATCCATGAGTCTTTATCTCTTATTTTAATCGCAATCAGTTCCCTCCAAACGTTTTGGTCCGTAAGCTGTTCACTTGCCAGTCTGTCTTCTCTTCAGCCAGGCCCTGGAGCCTAACTCCATCACAATGCTAAGCCTGGCTTAGCAACAGAAAGGTTATAAGCTGTTCATGTTGCAAGTCTCACCAGAAGACGCGGGCTGATTCGCGTTGTAGTTAAGTCAAAAACTCTTCTTAGCGTTGTGCTAACTTGAGGCTTTTGCAAGAATTAGTCCCAGCTCTGAGGATGTTCGTCGCATGACTCCGGACAATGTGCATTGTTCTAAGTCGGCATGACAACACGACCAAGTTGCAAAACAAGCTCAAACAACCTCTATACTTCCCTCAAAGTTAGTTGGATACCAGCTAGCCGCTATTTTTACTTTTGGTATTGGCAATGTTTTCTTAAAGAATGGCTTCATGCTTTGACTCGGACAACTGGACAGAAGAGAAGGCTCAGCGTCAATGGTTCTGCGAGGCAAGACGGTGCACCGACAGTTCTTGGCACACGTCAAACAGTCTCAACTCCAAATCAACCCTCTTTTGGGTTCAGGAGAGGTCAACTTACGAATTCCTTCCCCTCCAGTCTTTATGCGAAGTGAAGAAGAAATTCCTTTTTTTCCCAGCAATTGTTGAAGAGGCGCCTCTATTGTCTCGCTAAGCCCTGTTCGTTTTGGAAAATGATAAATTGCTTACTCAGACCAGCCCAACAGTGTGAAACGGATTAAGCTAATCTAATCACGTCACAATCGGCCATCAAAGCTTCATTTGTCTCCGACATTCATAATTGTTGAGTTCATTTCCATTTCGAGGGAAAGTGCGTGTGATGAAGAGATTCGAAGGTCAATCTCACCAAGGGACGAAGACCGATACTTTCTGGCAAGCGTCAGGTGGATTTACTGGAGAACCTCCTGGACGATGCTGTCCCATCTTATCGTTAGTGGGTAATGTGAAAAGCTTTTTTCCGCCATATGATAGGCATCATCTGGCAAGGGTATCATTTCTACAACCATTTGTGAGAAAAAGTGCCAAGAAGACCCAACGGCTTATAGAAATCGAAAGCAGACTGCAACCATACCAGCGGCGACAACATTTGGTCTTCATATCTTCAACGGCTTATGCCTAAATGCTGTATGTATAGCCCAAATCTATTAATTTGACGAGGTATCAAGTGATATGGAAAGTTCAAGCCATATGCCAATCTAGAAGCCTGTGTGTCTGACTGTTTGTGTGTGCTTATGCGCCTTTCTGTGTACCTTTATGCATTCAACCAACAATGATAACCGAAAGTTATTAGAATAGGTGGCATACCCAAGTGACCAAGTTCAATAACAACCACCACTACTCTTTTCATATATTTTAATGATCACTACGATTGAGTAATTTCGGAAATACTTCCAATTATATGTGTATTTACCCTATTTCGTTCAAGATAATAAGGGGACTGGTAGAGCAATTTTTGCACAATTATTTGAGTATACCTTCATGTTCCGATTGAATCGACAATGTGGCAATGTGACGTAGGGGTTAAAGTGTCGAGATTATGCATTGCACTGTTATGGTCGAGAGTGCAGTTCCCTTCATCCTGGATGAGAATACCTTTTTAAAAGCAAGGCTATGTGGAATTCAATGGAAACGCAAGGTCTACACATGTCATTGTGAGGAAATTCGACAACCAGTGCCCTTATCACCTTCAACCAAATAGGGTGAAGCATTTCGTATAAAGTGGTTTGATCAGTTCAAGTCATATGTCAGCCCCGAGACATGTGAGTGTGTCTATGTGCTTTCGCAAATAGGCACACACACACACACACATGCTTCGAGTTTGACAAATAAATCAAGCCAACGAAATCGCTTTATTTCTCCTCAAAGGGATTCTATATGTGATTTTTTCTTGATTGTTTAGCCTGTATGTATTTTCAGGAATGATGGCCTGCTATGATGATGCCCGTCATACGAAATACGAAAGCTTGGCGCTTCTTCAACTGAATCGAGGAGATTGCTCTAGAGACAGCATCAACCAGAGTGTTCAAGTAGAGCCAATCGACAGCTGGCCAAAATGCATTCGCCGTTGTCGTTTGGTAGATTGCACCTCGAATCCACTTCACCGGACAGTTTCATTCGAAATGGAAGTGGGCTCCACGAGGAAAGACTTGTTGCATCCTCGGGTCTTTCAATTACGGACAAGTATTTTCCACATAAACTTTTACCGGTTTTCCTCACATTCGACACATCGCCTGACATGTTGATTTGGTTGGCCTCTTTAGTTTCCCGCTTAGTTGCAGGCATGTCATGCTCGGTAGAACGACAAGTTTGAGACCATTCAATGCCACGTCCAGTTCCTTCCAACTTTTCCTCATCCCTCCATCCTCCCATGCCTGTCCTTTGGCACGAGTCTGGCTCGTCTGGTCTGCAGGGACATTGTCCATATTGGCGCGTAGGCACCGACACCCCTTGGGACGGAGGGAGTAATATGGAAAAGACGATGCGTTTGGTTGCGAATTTGCCCCCTTCCGCTTGTCTATTAAAGGTGCACATGTCGGTGGGCTGGTGTGCGCCAGATTCTCGATTGTGAACCCGAGTGTGCCTGTGGATGCGAGCATGGGTGGTTCTACTGGCCTCGGAGACCAGCCGCCCTCTGAGCCCTGGCGGAATGGCGGAATGAAACATGAAGGTTTGGCACGCCCCCATCCATCCATCCATCAGCGAGCCGGGCTAGTTTTTACACCGTTTCCCTCATAAAAACGTCCATATGAAGCTGGATAGGACAAACATTCTGTCATTCTGCACAAAGTGAAAGCTTATTTCAAAGGCTACCCTTCCCTCTACGACCTTTGAGAAGTGGCTGTGGCAATTCTCTCTTCCACACATCCCTGCTTGATCCCCACTATTGGCCGCGAATATGTATACATGCAAATGGGAGCTCATAAAACTCGCATATGGCCATAGCTCCCGTAGTTTACTGTACAAATTATCATTGAATATACTAACAGACAAAAGCAAGAGTGCAAATCCTTCATATAACCGAGGGAAAGAATCTCACACGAATGCACATACATGCAAATCTTTTCATCTGCGCATAGATTTGTATGCACATGTGCATTTCCATGTATGTATGCATGTCTGTGCTTTATGTATGTGATTGTGTATGTGCAAATGTGTGCATATGACGGTAAAGGCACAAACAGAATTATGAGGGCCCAAGTAGAAATGACCTCACCATATGGCTACACACCCATACATACACACACACACAAACACATGTGCACAGACACAGATACAAAGTCGTATGACCAGAGGGCATAGGGGCGAGTGGGCTTGACGATATAACTTGACAGAACGAGCTCTAAGTGTAGGGCGAGTTGACCGGCCCTGCGCCCCGGCAGACTGGGCAAGTGGGCATTTTTGCATTTGACGCATCTGCTCTGTTTATCCCAACCAAACTCGACTAAACTTGCCCAAGTCGGTCCTACAAGTCGGGCTCTCATGAGAGCCCACATCCATCCGTCAGCCGGCCACCACCCGTCCTCCTCTTCGTCCTCGTTAGTCCTCCGCCCTCCAGACCGGTCACGCGCCTCCTGCTGCCCTTTGCCCCAGTGGCCGGGCGGTCGCCATATCTCTAAAGCCACGGTCACCCCGGCTACCTTGTTGCTGGGCTCGTCGCGATAACGAGGCCCTGGCGCGGTAACCGGGTCCGGATAACTACTGCTACACTTCCCCCCATAAGTTTGGGCGCTGTCAGCTCAGAATGCGTAGCCTGCAGTACCAAAGTTGTGTAAAAAGGGAAGAGATGAGAACTGAGATGTACTTCCGGCCTAACCGTAGGACGGTCGGTGGACGCGGAAGAGAGATACAATTTCGCCAGAACTAATCGCCCAGTCCGGAAGTGCCAGACTATGCGAGTGAGGATAAAGTAGGAGGCCAGAATTTTGAGACACTTTGTTCACTTCAGCCTCATCTGCCGACCAGAATTAGATAAAAATTTGGTCACTCGCAGAAACTTGAGGGGATTTATTGACTGTTTTTGGGACTTTTCTTATTTTCGTTTCTATTCCATAATTTCCAATAGCCTCGAAAACTACTTATATCGTAAAAAAGTAACGTTGTTTATTAGAATAGCGAAGAAAATTTGGGTTTCGAGGAATCTCTTGCTTCATAATTGTTGAGCTTACTTCCATTTCGAGTGAAAGTGTTGGGTGAAGAGATTCGAAGGTCGATTCCACAAGAAGACGACGGCGGAATCCTCTTGACTAGCTGTCGATTGGCTTTACTGGAACATTCATGCTGACGCTGTTCCCGAGGCAATCTCCTTCGATTCCGGTCAAAACGTGCAAAGCTTTCGTGTATCATATGACAGCTTCACAACTAAATTCAAGATAACGAGTCAAGAAAACACCTTGCTCTGATGATGTTTGC